ATTGGACAAAGAAAACCCAATATTTTCACTCTCTCTTGATCTTCATAAAAGTGGAAATCGGAAGAGGGTTGTTTTGACCGGTGGGGATAAAGAGAAGAGTATAATAAATTTCAAGTTGTTAGAGATACAATAGATAGTGAGGATTCTAAGAAAAACAAAATTGTTGCCGACGAAGCTTTTGGTTTCTTATGTGTTTCTCTTTATGTTTGATGCTAACTCTTGCTCTCCACATTTATCACACATTATATAGCTTTTCAATATATTTTAAGCATGAATAATCTTTTTTTTAAAAGAACAAAAGATGTCGCACCTCGAGAAACACAATGACCATGACTTCTTCGTCTTCAATTGGTTCATCGCGTTCAAGTTCTTCGTCGCCTCTTCTTCGTTGTGTCCTGACAAGAACATGATAGCTGGAACAGCTGTTGGGACGGTTCTCTGAAGGGCACGGACCGTGTGCTCAGCGATGACTTCGGGTGAAACCTTGGGACTGTCTGATCCAGGTGTGACCATGTTAGGCTTCAAAACTTGGATTAGGCCAAGTGAAGTAATTTACCGTACATAACGGTACGAACTTCTCACCTTCAACGTGAAGTGAAATTACATATTTAAACTTTTAGAACAATAACCTTAAATTACTTCAATTATTGTAGTGTGAGGGGGTATTGTATATAGTACCTAAATTTCTTTATCGTTATATCTGATGTAGATCAAATATATCTACATCATAATATATANGGTGTAATTAAAATAATGATATNNTTAATCANAAAATTTATTTGGGTCTCATGGTAATTAATTAAAATCGTGTGCAACACAAATTTTTAATGTATAAGTAATACAAAGAGAATCATTAGTCTTCCACGGCCTTTAGAAGATGTTACAACATAAGTGAGTCTCTTAATAATTCAAGACATTTCAAATAAGAATTCTTTTTTTTTTGTCAACAATCAAATAAGAATTCAAAACCTAGAAACCATTGAACCTACAAATTCTAAAAGATACGAAAAGTACCATATATATTATTCAGTTGAGTTTACCATGCAATGCCATCTGAGAAATTCGCAAAATGGATGTGTAAGATGAAATTAACAGTTTTTTACTTAAATTCTAACATAGACGAAATCAAGAAATTAACAAAAGATTCAAAGAAAATCGCATTCGGATCTCTAGCATCATGGATTCATCAGTACAACAAATGAGAAAACAAATATTAAGGGTAACATCTTTTCTGTTGCGATTTTGTACTTATGAAAACCACAAATATTAATGAGTCTATTTTCTTACATACGTTACAGAGAAACCCATTTAAAGAGATAATTGTTGTCCAACCAAAATTGTAATGGTAACAATGAATTACGCGTTGCCTCTTATAGTAACCCAAGCATTGCCACAAATGGTATTCTCATCAAATCATTAATATGCGAATATAACTTGGACCACACGAGTTTTATATAATTTTAAGGGTGAATTGCAAAAAATAACCAAAAAAATAATAATAATTAGAAGGTAAAGAAAACTAGTGTATGTGGCAACATATTAACCTTTGGATTTATGTTAAATGGTTAGGGATTCTATTATAATTTTTTTTATGGCTATTACATGCAACTTCCCTAATTTTAATTCTCAACTAAAAAAAAATATGTCCGTGCTCAAGATCCTATTTACATATGTGGCAATTGAGTTAGGTCTTAGAGATCTACCAATGAAATCAAGTATGTAAGACGAAATTAACAGTTTTTTACTTAAATTCTAACACAGACGAAATCAAGAAATTAACCAAAGATTCAAAGAAAATCGCATTCGGATCTCTAGCATCATGGATTCATCAGTACAACAAATGAGAAAACAAATGTTAAGGCTAACATCTTTTCTGTTGCGATTTTGAACTTATGAAAACCACAAATATTAATGAGTCTATTTTTTTACATACGTTGCAGAGAAACCCATTTAAAGAGATAATTGTTGTCTAACAAAAATTGTAATGGTAACAATGAATTACGCGTTGCCTCCTATAGTAACCAAAACATTGCCACAAACGGTATTCTCATCAAATCATTAATATGCGAATATAACTTAAACTACATGAGTTTTATATAATTTTAATTCTCAACTAAAAAAAAATGTCCGTGCTCAAGATCCTATTTACATATGTGGCAATGGAGTTAGGTCTTAGAGATCTACCAATGAAATTAATGAACAATTAAAGAAGATCTAATTTCATTGGTAGATATCCTTCATTCAATGGCAGGGCGCCGGCTTCCATTTCTTCTTTTTAATGAGAAAATAGTAAAAAATAAAATGGTAGAGGGATCAAAACATTTTTATTTGAGAATTTTCAATTTTGTTCGGACAAACATGTGAGTAAATCAAAATTCAATTAAAAATTCAATAATAGTATCATTGTAGTTTTCTTAGATCTTTTCCCAAAAAAAAATGATAGGCTAAAACAAGATATAAATGCTGAAACATAACAACTTCTGAATATAAGAAAGATCAAATCACTCCAAGCAATAAAAAGTAGGGCGGCCTACGAAAATACCCTTAATAAAATCGATATATTTACACTCTTTGCCATCGACATTTTATAATTAAAATAATATTAACTCGTTGAATGATAATTAATGGGTTTGACTTTGAGATTGATATTTCAATCGGTCCATAAGTAATTCCTTATTGGCAAAACTCTAGATGTATAAAAATTATATATATCGATCTTTTTCCTATAATTTTCTTAGTCAATCTTTTTTTAAGGTTTAATATCAGTTGTTTTTCTTTCTTTGTTTTGTTATATAGTAATGATGCTTTCATATGTTTCTAATCTATTGGGTTTTAACGAGTTTTGATGATTTGTTAATGATATATTATTATGTTCTAATGTTTCTATTTTTTTTACGAATCACAGAACATATCAAAGTATAACTAAATAAAAAACTTTTGCGGTAATTAAAGATAATAGAAATGAGAAAACTTAGAAAAGAGGATGACACTAATAGTAAAAAAACGGATAAAAATATCTAAATAATGGAATTAGTTATCTTCAAAACAAATAAATATATAAAATGAATGTATTGTTTTGAATATTTTAAGTGCATTTGTGATGGTTTAAACTTACAGGGTTTAGTACTCCTTAATTTGTTAAAAATATAATTGTTTTCAATAGTTTACATGTATTAGTTAGGATTTAGCCTCACATATTAGAGCTTATACCCATTAATTTGTTACAAATTAAAATTATAAATCAAAATTTTATTTTTAAATAATTAACTATATCAATGTTTTATATTGGAGATATTAGTAAAGATAATATCAGATTTTGTTCTTCATTAATTGTAAATGGCTAGAAGCCTACTTAGTGATATGTTTTAGAACTAGAATCACCTATGTATTGAAAATACAAGATGGTACTGGAATCTACTTACAGTCATGCTCGATATCTCTCCTAAACTTCAAATTCTTAAGCTCATTGATGCAAAGATATTTCATTGCTAGTCAGCTATTTCTTTATGGTTTCTCGTTAATTCTGATTCATGGTCCAATAATTATTGCATTTCCCTTGCGTAGTTTGGTTTCATCAGAAATATCGAGCTTTTAACAAAAGATATATGGACGGGATCAAATGAAGTATGTCGATGTATGTTTATTGTCCAATCTCGAGAAATTGGTGTGGACAAGATACAATTGGGAAGGAGAAAATCAGAAAAGGCTACTTATATTCTAAAGAACGGAAGACAATTGAAGAAGGCAACTTTCTCTTTATTAGACCCGCTGAATCAGAAAGAACTCAACAGGTTGGAAGAGAGACGTGAGATGTACAAGGAGTTGATGATGTGATCAAGGCTTCAGATTCATGTTAGCTTGTGTTAAAATTTTGTGAAAATATCAAACATTTACCATTATCTGTCTTTTGAGTCCAATCCCAATTTTTTATTTCGTCAAAGATACATCTCTTATTCTAACGACAGTTTGGTTCTCCATCAAATAAAGCATCAGCCTTTGTTTTGACTGCACCGCTATGAATACACCTTAAGAAGAGAAAAAGCTCGGCTATTAATTTAGATTCGTATACATGTTTTATTTGTAACAGAATAAGAGTAAATGATCTACCCATTGTCGCAAGGAGAATACGATAAAACCAAAAATCAAATATTTGATAAAGAAAAGTAATAAAAAAAAGGGTTATGAAGTTTTGTGGGTGGAATTGGCAGAAGAAGAAGTGGAGGTGGTAACGGGAATGGAATCGTCTTCTTCGCATTGTTTCAATAATTCCTTGAACGATGGATCATAGGCCACCACTCTTCTCAAGTGCTTTGCTGCTTCCTCTCTCCTTCCTTCGTTGAATATAGCACTACACACACAACAAAATTCAAGAAAATGGCTTTTTTTAAGATCATACTATCTTTGCATCACTATGGGTTTTTAACAAGACCAAGCACATGAGGATAGCTTCTTTTTTTTTTTGTTTTACCTTGAGTAGAGTACCAATGCGTCTAAGTAATGAGCTTTGCTCTTGGGATCATCGGGCTCTTCCATGTTTGCTACTCTTTCAAGGTGTATGATTCCCTCTGATGTCTTCCCCTGAAGCCATGAGTGTAAGTTTCTTCTCATCAACGGGTATATACAAAGATAGATGCAAAACAAGCAATTCGTGAATAATGCACCTGGCGGATATTGGAGACACCTGCCCATTGGGATGCAACAATTAAAAGATCGACTTCTTCAACTTCTGTTGGACAGGCATCAATAAGCTGCAAGGATCAGGATTATTTATGATTAATACAGTTAATGGAACCAAATAATCAAATGTCCGAAAGAATGAGATCACAGAACATAAGAATCACCACACCTTTGAAGCAGCTTGCTCCAGGTATTTTGCAGCTTCAGCAAACTGTTCTTTCTGATATAAAGCCTGGCCAAGAATAACCATAGCTTGAAGATATTCAGGATCCTTTTCTAATGCCAATCTGGAAAACACACAATTATGTCACAAGAACAGCCATATCGACAAAGACAGCCTGGCCAAGAAATGTTTTTCGTTATGAGAAGAAGCTGTAGCTACATAAAAACCTTAATAGCGGAATTGATTTTTCCTTGTGCCCTCCAGATAAGTATTTCGCAGAAAGCTGTCAAGAAAAGCTGTTAACAAATAATATAGTAACATAGATGTGGAAGATTAATTATTGTTAAAACATCCCGATCCATGACACTGACTTACACCAACTAACTCCTTAGGGGTTAAGTTATGCCCCGAGATCAAGGGTCCTTTCAAAGATGGATCAGTGAGTTTCGCTTCATTTATATTTGTTAATATAGGATTTCCAGCCTCTTTCTGGACAGTGTCATTTCCTTGTAGGCCCAACTTCGCACTTACAACAGGATGCTTGAGGACTAATTGCTACAAAGCCAATGAATTATATGAGAGAAGCGAAAGGTAATGCAAAACAGAACGTAGACTTGTGAACAGGGATAAGAACCAAAAAAAACTAGAAAAGAATATCAGATTAGATTTGCTCATAAGAGCTGGATTCAAAGGCAGAGGAGTCCCTCTTTTAGTAAACATTTGTCCACCCATAACCAGCTTAAGTCCGATTCCCCTAAAGAGCATTACCAAACTTTTAATTTATTACTACATTTTATCGGTAACTTTTGGAATTTCAAGTCAAAACACCTACATCATTCCTCCCGAACTCAGATGCTAATTGACGACTTGCCCATCATTGAGTTTTTTAGTTTACATCAAAATTAAGAGCATCCACAGTAATTATTTTTGCCCAATTTTCCTAATCTCAATGAGTTAAACTAAGATCCCAAGTGCCTGAACTTGAGAGAAGAAAAATCACTGAGCTCCTCTCTATTTTTTGGTTCAAAGAATGCTTGTCCCAATAATTACCACATCACACAGTATGAATTTGACACCATCAAAAGTCAAACAGAGTTGGTAGATCTTAGATTGCAATCATAGGACAAACCTGAGCTATGCTGAATGACAAATTGGTAGACCAGTAGAGCAGACTTCCCTGAGATGTAATTTTGAAACAAAAGTGAAGAAATGAAACTTTTGAGCGTAGTGTCTGTGTATGAAAATGGCTGTTCCAGGGAGTAATAGGAAACTGAGAGCGGTATATCTTAAGCAAAACTCACCCAGACACTACATTAATAATGGAACTACAAGTGACTCTGGAAAAGAAGATGATATAGTTTAAATAACTTAGTTTCAAGATTAGTCACCATTATGGTTTTTACAAAAGGTAAGAGTCAAGTAAATCGGACTTTTAAGAAAACTTAGTTGAAAGACCTTAAGCTGAAGAAGTTTTGATTATAACCTCTTTGTACCAACGTTTTCAAAACAATATGTGAACTTTAGAAGGAGGTATATATGATAAGAGATTAACTTACCTGAGGCATTTGGAATGCAAGGAAATAAAGAGCAAATGTCAAAAAATTAAAAAATATCTTGTACGTCTGCAGAAAAAACAGAAACACCCATCAAATGTTAAGTAAGATGCATAAATAACAGTTTTGGTGGAATTTGGTATTTTAATTGATGTCAGGCAACCAAGTAACACTTCTGGCCAAACAGTGTGCCAAAGTGAATATGTTCAAATATAGACTTCTTGCTATTAAACTGCATAACAAAGTAGAAAAAACTCACTTTCGTCAATTCCTCGAATTTATCAAATTTGTGAACTGAGGATGCTGAAAAAGCTATCTGCAGGAAAATGTATAAACAAGAAAGAATCAACAAAACACCAGGAAAGCGTAGTTCACAATAAATCACTCTACTTTATGAGATGTGGCATAATTGTTAATTAAGGTTTCATGATCCAATCAAAGAAACACCAGTAACTACCTGTGTGTTTGTGTAATGCAAACCAGCTATTAAAAAGGGATAAAGTGGACCAAAAAGACCGTTGGGAATTTCAGTCAAATTCTGGAACCATAAAGCTCCACCCTGCAAGCAACAGAACAAAAAATTTGATCAAAACGTTGACTACTTGACAACAGAGGCCCGAAATACAGG